GAGGGTTGACAATGTCGGAAAGTGCGAGAGAGAGAGAGAGAGAGAGAGAGAGAGAAGTGTGTTTCTACATTGCGGACAAAGATTCCCGCGGGAACGTGAGAGATGAAAGTTTTCCAGTTTCGTGTGTCGCCCGTTCCGAAGTATTTCGGTCGTGTCTAGACTATGCGGTTATTCCCCACTCTTCTCGCTTCTCTTCTCTTTGTCATTTCTGTTTCGCATCGCGATCTCGTTTGAGTACATTCGTGCGAATCATCCAGCAAAAAGATGAAGATATATACCGAATTATCGAGCAATTGAGCTGCTATGTCGCTGGAATCGCACGTATGCGCACTATCCAAAAGATGAAATATATAAACGTGAACGGCATTCTATAGCTCGATCGGAGCAGGAAATACTTCGTGAATGTGTGTTGCAACTGAACTTTACATTTTAAAAAATGTAAAAAATGCTGCGGATATTATATGACACGGTAAACAACCTATCGAATTGTTAACTAGAAAAAAGTACTGAGAAGAAACAATTTTCAAGATGACGGTTATATCTAATTTCTTTATTCAAATCAGTTTTAAGTCTGAATATCTGATATCATGGAAGAGATTTATGGAATATTCTTTTTTTGTTATGATTAGAGACATAATGATAAATTATTTATTACGAAAAAAATTAATTCAATGTTTAATATTAAATATTTTCATAATTAAACACGTGACATAAATTGCGATAACAAATAAATATAGAATAAAGTTTCATCGAAAATTGCACGTTTAAAAATTTCACTTTGTAAAAAATCTATAATTTAACTTTAATTCGAACAATGAATATTTTAGATTATTTTTGTGTGTGTTTTACAGTCATCTCTAGGCTTTTTTTTTTTAATTTCACTCTCTTTTTTTTCTTGCATTATGAATTCACCCAACATACTGTAATCTGCTCGGCATGATGGCCACGACGCGGCCCGCGAAGCTCGTTTTGGTCTCTTCTTACCCAGCTGTAAGCGATCGGCAATGTCCGTCGGCGCAAACTTTCCTCGTTATACCCCGGTATTCGCGACAAGTACAAGTACTCGGGTAAGCGAGACGACGGTATCCGTCATCAGCGCGGTTTGATGAGAACCGCGGAGAGATGAAAACTTGCCACGCTGATAGAATAGCGGGACGCGGGGAGAGAACCTTCTCTTTTTTATCTCGATACCGATCGCCATCGATCGATCGTTCCACTGTCGATTTCTTCGTCCTGTTCGCGCCTGCCTCCGCTTCTTCATGTACTTTTTCCTTCGATACCGGAGCATTACCGAATTCAGCTCGTCGTTTCTTATCGCGCACGGTTCCGCCGCAGGAACTGGATATCGCGTTAGGATGCAAAAAGTGAATGCTCAAGTTTAATGAAAGAGGAGGGTGACAGGTTAATTTTTCGAACTAGAATAGCGCGTTTTTATTATTTCGCGTTCATTGTTGTGTATATAAACGACATACATGTCTTTCATATCAAGGATATATATCAGTCTCAGCGCAGTGAAGTGAATAATCTTAAAAGTTTCGTGTATCAAGAATGTCATATAAACGAACATTGCCCGTTGATGAATTCGTATATGCGTACGGCGTATCTTCCACGAGTTTATCCTCGTGCAAATCCGTGTCGGATTAAAAAGTGTTGCGCATCACAGGCTTCTCTCACTTATATAATTTTGATAGAACTGTCTGCCGGATATCCAGTAGCCGTCCAGCCCGTCCACGTTTCACTCGCCGCGTAATCCTCGAAAGGACCGTGCTTCTCGACGTGTGGCCGGATTATTCCATCTGCCTCTTTTCTGACTTTTTGTTCGGAGATAGAGATACAAAACCGGTGCGTTCTCAAGACGCGGAGACACACACGTTCGCCAGCTGCCGCCAAGAAATACGCGCTATCGGCACGTACGTTGTTATTTCTACAAACGTCGTGGATTATGGTCGGGGTGTAACCGTCAGGGTGGATTATCCGGAATTGCTGCCGTTCGCTACGGGCGATCGTACTGACAGTTTTGTGTCTATTAAATGGAGTGTGCTCGAGTCTCCCCCTCTCGAGAGACTCTGAGTCCGATAAATTTTTGCGGCCAAAAACACAATCGTGTGCGCGGCATCCCTAATCATACTTCATTAGTTTAATAATGAACAGGGATAAATAAAACCGTATTAATCGTAATATTATTCAACTTGATAATATATATAAATCGGTTATTCATTTTTATTCAGTCGCTCATTCATATTTATGTCATCGCGAGAAAAACGTTACTTCTGGGCGAGATATTAAAATCTGTTAAATTGTATTATGATAAAATTAAAATTACAAAGTCTCTTTCCCGTTTTCACAACCTTTTGATATTCAGCTTTAAATATCTTCGTAACTCCCGTTAAAATTTTACTGAAATACCGTTTTAAATTGAATAATGAACGAATAAAGACTTTTGCTTGTTAATAAAATTAAAATTTTTACGCGTATTTACATTCCTGAAATATAAATATTCATTACAATGGAATATCAGAGTTTTTCAACTAATTATGATAATTTAATATTTTTATTAAAAATCAGTATTATTAAAAGAGTTCGTATATAAAAATCTTTAAAATAAAATGTAAGTGGCTATGTAAATAAAAACTGTTAGAATTAAATTTGTTTACAAATTTACCGATATTTCCAATAAAAAACTCTCGCTTTTTTCGCGCAAATTTTTTTTTTCGCAATTTTTTTTCTCGCATAGCTTCGCGCGTTATTGCTCCAAGCTCTTCAATTGTAAAAAAAAAACTTGCAAAAGTTAGCATCCCGCTACGACGCGATGCGCTTCGCACCCGCGGGCGGCTTCAGTTCGCGGCTTCCCTCTCCGGAGGATATGACGTCATCCCCTACGCGCTGCTCGCCGGCGGCGATAAATGGAAAATAAAAGGAGAGTCGTTCTCGTCGCGCCCTTGTCCGAGCGGCCAGCAGCCCCGGGAATAAATCACGATCGAATTGTTCCTCGAGAGAGGGTAGGAGGGGAATGAGAGAGGGATCCCCGACCGTGAACGTCACGTAGGTCCCTGCCGGAAATTAGAATAACGCGAGAGAGACGAGCTGCAGCAGCATTCTGCCTCAGGCGAACTGTTCGTATTATCGTGGAAATGCATATCCAACTGCATCCATTTGTTATGGCTCGTAACATTTTTCAACTTGATCACTGAAAACATACGCAATTTTTTTTTTAATCAGAAGTACGAAATGCTTATAATGAATCGTAGAATCTCAGTAAGAGAATAATAGCGTTTAGAAAGTGTACAAAAAATGCAATAAATTTTCTTTAAATATTTTGTTTGTATTATTTTAAAATGTGCGTATAATTTTTTTGCATAATTTAGAATAATTTAGTATAAAAATTAGTTGTCATTTTTAGTTGTAATTTTAATTTGAAAATACTAGCTTTATGGAGTAATTACTTTAGTTTGATTTGTCGTTAACAACTTGTCGTTAAGATATGTTTCACATCTTTTAGGTATAAAACAGTATATAGCTACGTTTTTTTTTTATAAAATGATATTATTCAAGCATGATGGATCGCGAACATTGGAACAGAAAACGTTGCACAATACATGTATATTTCAATTCGCGTTATATTCTCGTCGAAACGGGGCGAGCCCGGATTTTCGTTTTTCCAAGTAATGAAGCCGAAAAGAGGATACGTACACATATATGTATACGCGACACGTAACGTCCACTGTCACTGAAGCGACGTCAAATAGAACGAAAAAACATCAAATGTCAAATAAAAAAATTAGTCGCCGTTACGTGCATGCCGTGAAGCTGGCCGACCGGATTTTCGCTCGCATGCTGCACATTGGTTCCCCTCGATTTCGAGAAATACCACCGACGGACGAGAACGACGACGTAATTTCATTTCGCGTCAAATCTATCGGTCCTTTCGCCCATTCACTTCGACCCGCCGGCAATCGCGCGCTACGGGGTGGTCCATCGTTACCGGATGTCCTTTCATCATCACGCAACCACGGAAATAAAGTTGAGATAATGATAGATTTGCGCTCAAACATCGAGCTATGTACGCCGATTACGAAACCATTTAACGTTGATAATCAAACCGTTATTTTAACGGGTTAAAAACCACAAGAATGTAGATACATCAAAAGTAAATAAATAGACGAGATAGATAGATAAAATGCAGATTAGAAATGAGAGGGAGAGAGAAAAAGAGTTGTGAGCTTTTTATAACTACATGACTGTGTTGTAACATTTTCGTTTAAGAATTCAGTTTCGAAACTGTTTTTAAATGTGTAGATAAATGTCGAATAGTATCACCCCGTATAACCATTGCCAAAGTTTATTCGCGGGCGTAGTCCCGAAAACTCATTTCCACCATGGTGGTAACGCTTCGTTAGCGTTAACGCTCCAACTATACAGGGTGTCCATTTCACAGGTCTTTTATTCTCTATGGGCCGTAGGATAAAAAGTTTCTTTTTTTAACTTGTACTCTCTCCAGCCGGAGACTTCAAATAGACATTTTTATTTCGTCAAAAAACATCTCATTTAAATAAAGTCGTAAAAGGCTGTTTCAACTAGACAATTTTATATAAAGGAACGATACATATACTCTTATATCAAATCGAATATTAGAAATTACATTTAATTGTAAATTAAAAATATGTCAAATGATGAATAACGAGTGATTATGTTTAAGCTTTAAATGAATTTTTCCCGAGTGCGTTGCATTCTTCATGTATATATAAAACTGTTAAAATAAATATCTCGCTTAGATCAAAGAGCTAAACAATTTGTCTAAAGTTTTTTAAATAAGTTTAGCTTTTTATAATGTGTATAAAACAAAGAGATGAAATACCTATTCGTATATATTATATTTTTCTTGTTCGGCAGCTGAAACTATGCTCGTTTTCCTGTCGCTAAGAGAGAAAAAGAGTTTGAAGATATTTTAGGTACATGTATATATATGTGTAACTTCATAGTTTTGTTACTGTGTTTTTCAGGTCCACCCGGTGAGCCAGGTCCACCCGGAAAGAGGGGCAAGAAAGGAAAGAAAGGCGATCCTGGGGAACCTGGTGCACCGGTGAGTATCCCCTGTGCCGATACTTTGGTACATAACGCGCGGCATGTCATCGTATATAATACATATACTATTCTATATAAACTGTCCCAGTAGAGAGTAATAATACATCGCACGTGTAATTGTGTGTGTGTGTGTGTGTGTGTGTGTGTGTGTGTGTGTGTGTGTGTGTGTGTGTGTGTGTGTGTGTGTGTGTGTGTGTGTGTGTGTGTGTGTGTGTGTGTGTGTGTGTGTGTGTGTGTGTGTGTGTGTGTGTGTGTGTGTGTGTGTGTGTGTGTGTGTGTGTGTGTGTGTGTGTGTGTGTGTGTGTGTGTGTGTGTGTGTGTGTGTGCGTGCGTGCGTGCGTGTGTGCGAGTGTGTTTATTAGGGAGCGTAGCAGCTCCACGCATGAAGTGGTATATATGTATAGTTAACGGTACGCGTTATATTCTCTCTTTCCCCTTCCCCCTGCTCTCCGGACTTCGAGACCGACGGACGAGTACACGTGGTGATGATTAATGTAAACATACGCGTTTTCGCGAGATTCGCGCACGCACGCGGCGAAAAGTATTAAAGACTCACACCGAGTAAGAAGCGCGAAACTCTAAAGTAGAAAATTTAACTTGAGTAATACCCCTTCTTCCCCATGTCCCCACCTCTCGTGTAAACGAGTTTTTAATTTTTTATACCCCTTCTTACAGGGTGTGGCCGGGACGCCGGGCAAGAACGGTTTTCCGGTATATTATTTTTTATTTTCTTTCCACAAACACTCCTTCTCGCTTCTTTCTCTCTGTGTATATCTGTCTGTCTGTTTGTCTTGTCCTCATGCTTCTTTTTTTTTTTCTTTCTCTCCCTCTCATTCTCTGTCTTTTTCTCGCTGTCACCTTCTTGAACACTACGACTCTTACCACACTGTGTATCGAACATAACAGCCATTAAGTGCTATTAATACGTATCATGCAGCCGCTGATGTGCGATTCTTGCTCGTTTGACCTGCTTCTTTATCCGCGAGCTGTCTCTTGACCTGGATCCTCTTCCGGCTCTCGATACAGCTGTCCACTTAGATTTTTTTTTTTGTACCGTATATCAGCATGATCCATACGCGCAATCGAAGATCCGTGAAATCGGATTTTGATATTTTCGTTTCTATATACGATTCATCGTGCATCGCTTCGATGACTGAGGGTGCAACTGTATATCGAGGAAATAGATTAATTGCATTCCCCGCTTCGTTGCAAGCATCCTCGTTTTAATTGATAGCAATCTTGGGTGGCCTATTTCTGATTTACTTGAAAGTAAAAAGTTATCATATCGATGCAATTATAATTGCCGAGTGGAATCTCGTATATTAGTGACCTATTTACAAATATTAATATCTCGAGTAATATTTCTTTAAAAGGGAATATGAAGAGAAAAGATTTCTTTCGGTACAATTTTAATTATATCACGTAGTACATAAAAATAAATTTATTCTTTATAATTTTGTATTCGTATACAGTTTGATTAATTAGTAAAAAATGCTGCCACTCTTTATTTAGATTTACGCAATTAAAAATTTTATTCCCAAATTTAAATTCATGTAATGAAAAATTTCACATAAACTGACGCGTAAACCAACATTTAATCGTCAAACGTGATCAACGGCGATAATATGATTTTGAAAGAAATTCGAAATAAATTGGCATAAAGATGACAACGAGTCATATGATCTGAGGATATGACCTGGCATCAAATATAAGAGTTGCCCTATCAGGATCGAAGCTGTGCAAAATTAAAAATTCACGTGTGCTGAATAAAGTTTCTATTAACGGCGTTTCGTCGCGATATTTTCGCGTCGCGCCGCAAATGTATGTTACTATAATACATCGGGAAGAATCATGCACTTTTGTCGTGCCTGGAAGCATAACGACTCATCACGATTCTGGTTTGTCGCGCTCGTCCATATTTATTACATGTTACATACACAAGGAATGAAATTTTCAAGGGCGTGCTCAGCCCGCAATTTTTCACTTTTCTTCGTTCGTCGTTTACGGACGCGTGAAAGCGACGACTGGCACTGATCGGCGGTGTTCTTTCAGGGACCCATCGGCTTGGACGGACCCAAAGGTGATCCGGTAAGTTCACCGTATAACTTAGATTTTTATTTCCTCGCGGAGTTATAAGCGTGCGATATTAATTGTATCGTCAAAGCATGAAAGAAGATACTTTATTCATGACGCTTAATATTTTAAATATAGCATTATATAATAGAATAAGGATTATGGACGCGCCAGAATTTAATCATAATGTATTTCGTGCGGTGAAAAATCCCACAAAATTTATGCTTACATAATATATCATAATAATAATGGCTCTTTCTCTTATTGTAACCACAGGAATGTCGAAATGTGCTGCTTGATTCATGAATTTTTATACGGTTTCATACATATTTAATGAAATGAAATTTGCGCGATAGAAACAAAAGCTAAACATTGTAAAACAGTCAGCTCGCGATATATGTGAGATACATATATTTAAAAAATTTTTTTGTTTCACTGCAACTATTGATATCGGCTGATCATTCGTATGTTTTATTTAGCACAGTTACAAAATTAAACGTGTTATCTAAATTGTTTGCCCTAATTATATAAATGTGAAAGGAGGTCGCGTAAGATATTTCAGAAATATCTGCCTATCACATTATTCTCAGATATCACATCGGGAATTTATTTAAAACGTATCTTTTTATGCAGCTTCAGATTAATTAAACGAGTATATTTCTAAAGTACAGTCGCGCATCACACATATGACGTGAGTCTTACCTTGAAAAAGATTATGATCAAGAACAAAAGTAACAAAATCAAACGTTTGAAATGACAGATGTAAAGATAATGAAACAAGAGAGCGAGAATTTTGATATCGAGTTTCCGTCAGATACAGCTGTTCCGGAAAGAATGAAAACTTTTACCGATTTATTTCGCATCATATTTCAATCGAAATCAGAGTAAGATATTTAGCCAGTATTTCGAGATACACGATCAGTACTCGATCTATGATTACACACATGTTCAGTATGAGAACCGGAACATGTTTACGTGTTTGTTAATTACAGACTCGTTCTGCTCCAGCACTTTTTCTCTCGTCCCCTTTGTTCGCTCGCTGCTTCTGACATATGTTCAATGAATTAGCCATAAAAATGCAGGATGATCAATCATACGAGCGATACACTCGGGTACCCTAGAGTTCGCTATCAAACTCGGTTTTTGATGTGCGTAGTTAAAATGCATATAAATGTATCGAAGTTTAAAATCAAATGAAACATTCGATACAGATGTTTTTGCCAACATTTATATCGGATGCGTCCCTAAAACAGCTAATCGAGAATTATTATTATTATTGTATATTATTTTATTTTTTTGTCGCTAATAAATGAAAATTAAACACAGTGTTTTCCATAGTGTTCTGATATTCGCAATGTACACAGTGTATAGGTAAAAAATCTGGAACACATTAAACTTGCAATATGTATTGACTTGCGGTCTTGCAGACAAGCGTCGACTCTTTTGTGACTGTAGAAAAATTTTTTAATTTAAGAAAGTATTGGAGAGAAAATTGTAACTATATAAAGTTAACCTGAAAACTATTTTTACGTAGCGAATATATTTATGTAGCTAAAAGGTTACGTTCTAAAACGTATTTATAAAAATTATATTACCGCTAATATTTTGCAATCGTTATAATGGAGTTAAGAAATTATGACAAATCAAATTATTCAATTTTTTCACAAGCAACAGGTAACTTTAACAAAACAAAAGTCAAGTTTATCAAAAAATTTGACGTACAAATTTAATTATCTGTATCTTTTTAACTAGCAATCGTTTAGTCAATAGTTGTAGATATATCGCGATTTATTAAGAGACGACTGCGTACATACTCTTGTTCGCGATTATAGTAGCGTCGGTCGAATAGAATCGGAAGATGAATCGGATTTTAAATTGAAGATTTGCTCGCTCACTTGCGTCCACTTACTCTATTAATTCTGCCGTTCGCCGGAAAGCAGTTGCTCTCGTCTGCGCTCGGTTGCTATATTTTCTACGGGATACGATCTTTTAACTCCAGTCCGATTCATCGTTTGAAACTATTCATCAACTGGCCTGCTATTACGTACTACCTTCCTCTCACACTGAACGGGTTGCCGTGAGTCGTAAATCGTATAGGAGACGACGTACAAAGTTGCGATGTGTACCGCCCCCTCCTCATCATCGTTGTCGTCGTCATCGTCATCTCGTTTTGCTTATCATTCATAAATGCATAACAGTCATATACATAGATAATGGCGGGATGTCTCCTCAAATGCGCGGACGAGCAGGATGCGAATATCGGAACCGACGCGAACGCGAATTGACTCGTCCGCATTCCTTATTCGCCGACTTATTATTCTTATTATTGGTCTAGTCATTGAACATGCAAGCCGAACGCGAGACGTCATTGCTCTCTTAAACTTTTCTCGACGATGACGAATCTTGATGCGTATTCGCAAAAATATGAAAGAACTATCGTCGCACGAATACGTTTTGGATTTAATTGTTGGGATCCAAATTCTGTACAGCTTATGATCCGTCTTGACATATATGCAAGATCATTGCGCGACGAGATTGTCGTGTATACGTGACTTTCAGTTATACACAAGGTCCTTGTGACACGCAAAGTCTTTTCGCATGACAGGTCCTTGCGTTGGTGGCCCTTTGTAGCCACCTAGTTTGCCTTATCGTAGAGCCTTTACACACACACACACATATACGAATGTGTCGCGTATAGGTTGATGCATAGGATGTCGCAGAATTTCTGCCATTTCCCTTAACTACAGACACTATGTAATTAATTAAAAAGGTTGACGACACGATAATAAGTGCTTTTCACACATAGATGCGAATAACTAGATAATAAAGTATCATTTTGTACCTTGTCTCGTAAATGGACTATAATTGAATATAATTGTAATTTGAGACACGCAGTTAGCGAGATACTTTATGCTAAGGGATAAAAAGTTACGCGCGAGAAAGTTAAAATCCAATACAATTTTCATCAAAGAACAATTAACCTCGAGTCGATCGAGAGAGCTCAGATGAAAGGTGCGACGATAGTTCTGGGACACCCTGTGTACGTTCAGGTATCCGACAAACTGGGGAGAATATACATGAGGATGTATTGTGTGGTAGGTGGTACGTTGACGTGGCTGGTCTCGGTGGCGGTAAGGTACAAACGACAAAGTAAACAGATAGCGAGAGACCGTACCCAGGAGAGGAAGGGAACGAGAACGCGCCGGTGGAAAAGAGAGGAACCGGAGAGACAGAAAGAGAGAGAGAAGGAAGGAGCAATAAGTGCATTGCAAATATCGCGTGATATTTATTCTGTCGATGGCCGGGAAAAGAAAAGAGACCCAAACGCGCGCGATCGACTCCTTCCTCTCTCTCTCTCTCTCTCTCTCTCGTGTTCCTCTCTTTGCCCGGCCGGCGTTTTCTTTAAACGAGTGTGGCAAACGAGTGTGTACACAGTCGCCGGCGACCAATACAGGACCGCACACAGGACGGGTATTTTCCCGAGATTCGAATAACGAATCTCGACGTTTATATCGGATTTCGTGCAAATAGTCGCGGCGCAGGTTACAGCAAGTAGCGCCGCAATTTGCCTCGGGATCGTGGAGTTTACTCTGTGTTACTCCGGCGGCGAGATTTCACGCAAATACACGGTTTACCTTCTTTGAAATTTACATTTACTGTACGCGCGCGCTATCCCCTGTCCTGAGCCCTAACGAAATATTAAATCGCATATTTAACCCTCGCTGAATCGCGTAATCGAAAAGCCCTACAATTTTGCGAAATGGAGTTTTAACGCCGGTCTCTTCATCAAGATGCATTGTGAGGAGACTCCATATGCATGATAATATAGTTCTTGTGCATTGATACAGCGCGGAAAAGTAAATCTAAATAAATCGGCTTTAGAGTAGAATAGAAATGAATCGGCTTTTTACGGCTGGGTCTTCTCTCGCATACTTCATACAATGACTGTGGATTAAATCTGATTGTGAACCTCTAGTGCAGTATTTTGTGTTATTCTAAGAGAAATATGCGACACAATTTAAACATTCAATGTTTTTGTAATTATCTTGTCTTCTAATGTATCTAACAATTTTATTTGTACTTTGTTTATTTGTTACGAATACACAACGAGTTTACATTAATAACGATAGTTTTAAGTAGTAATAATAATCTCATGCGAAATTAAAGAATAAGATAAGGATTAATCACGTATATTATTGTTAAAAAGAATAATCGATGAAAGCGTGTGAAAACTTACATGCGCGTCAAACTTTTATGTAGATTAATATGAGAGAAAATTTTAATAAGCGAAATTATTCGGAAAATCTCATTTACTTTAATAATAGAATCTGCAGAATCTTCCGTTACAGACGTTCTACGTTATCTCTGAAACGGAACGATAGCAGCAAAATTCTTGATTAAAACTGAAAGTGTCTGTAATTCCATACACAAAGATAAATTACCAAAAGAAAATCTCAGCATACCGTTACAACATTTAATTGAACGAATTAAGATGATAAAATAATTACAAGAAGAAAGAAAAAATTTTTTTTTTAATTTCAAGTGAGGAAAAATCTCTTGGTATTTTTTTTAGAATTAATTCGACATTAAAGTCGAGAAATCTTTGATCGCGATATAGTTAACGATAAAGGAAAGGATATTCATGTTGAAAGCATGTTCATTCTGTTTATCGCGTTATTACTCCATGTAATACACAGTGTCTCTTTTGTTCGCAGGGCCGACCTGGTGACAAAGGACAGAAGGGTGAGCTGGGCAGCCCCGGATTCGACGTCTTGTCCGCAGTGAAGGTATCTAAGCTACGCTATCTGACAGGAGTAAAGCAATATATCCGCGCACTCTTAATGCGCGAAAATGCGTACCGCGCTCTCTCTCTCTCTCTCTTATTTCTCATCCTGCACCTCTTGCACCTTCTCTC